TGCAGTGTCCTTTACCTGATCATTATTTAAACCGAACTATGATCCTTGTTGTCATGTCATCCATTCTGCAAGATTTCAAACGGTTGCATGTCCTTTTTGTAATCATCCTTATGCAGCGACAAGACGCAGCTGAAGGGCTGTCACGAAATTTATTGACGCCAATAAATTCTGCCGTAGATGCGTGTTTTAAATTTCTACCGGGGAACAAATGTTTCAGATTTCTCAAACACACTTTTGTTGGAACAGCCCGGACGCCAGTTATTACTCGGGCAATCCTGAGGGTACCAGAACAAAAGGACCTTACTGGCGACCGGTTAATGCAGTTACAAGCGACCTTCAAAGGGCAGGCATTAGGCCAGGACAAAAGAGGCGCGCGCAACCGAGACTGCCCATGGCCGGGTTGCGGCTATCGGGAGGTCACGCTAAGGACACGATGGATGGAGGCATGACGGCTGCCCGTAGATACCACTCGTAGAGAGCCAATAGGGAACAATAACTACTGGCCCTTAAATATGCTGCCACCGCTGAAGGCGGCATTCTGTTGCTGGAGACGTGCTACCGACGACCCGCGATTCTGCGGCTAGCGACCCGGGACACGGCTTCTAGAGACGCGGAACGCTGTTGGCCGAGATGACGACAGAACACAAGCCGCTGACAGACACAGAGGACTAGCTGTTGGGCACACAGGAAACAGAACTGATGTACTAGTAAAAGTGACAGTTAAGTACTGTCTGCTATCCTATTCTGCGTTCTCTTCCTAACACGTAACTGGGGGACATAACCAGTTTTGACACAGGAACACACAACATTATAACACTTTTAATAGCGTGCAGTAGTCGCATGTCGCTGCTTGCCACACTGACGCATTGCAACAATGGCTTCAGATTGCTCCACGTTGATTTGACTACCTTTGAGTGTTGTCCAGGTGATAAACCCTTATGCTGTCAGTTGTAGGGAAGTTCGTTTGACGCAGGAGGAGGGGCGCACAATTTTGCACATTGAAACCTAGAATTCATCTCTTGGACCACGTTTGCAGTAAGCTCACTCAGTTTATGTGGAAGGCTTTGATAGGGCACGCTATCAAAGACTTTGTGGAAATCGATGTTGCCTAAATCGCCGAGAACCTGGGAGAGACGATCGCAGCTTCGGCACGTCACGGGCAGACCAAAAAAACGGAGATTTGGAGCGAAAACTGGATAGGTTGAAATCAGCAGACAATAAAATCTCAGACTTGGTCCACAACCTTTCGTCCAAACTCCTCGCCACCACACAACTTGCAGTCCTAGAACGTGGAGCAGACGCTTCACCCGCTGAGTTCATCGGCACTCTTGAGTCAGTCCTTCACTCAACAAAGGCCTCAGAGGATACAAACCTTAATCCGACATAAAACTTCATCGCTGCTTATGCAACACAAAAGGTGTGAAATTCTTGGCCGAGAAGAACAGAGAGCACTAAAAAGTCTAAAAGCCGATGAAGACATAATCATTCTGCTTGCTGACAAACGTTGTTCCACAGTGATGCTCAACAAATCTGATTATCAGATGAAAGCCCAGAACCTACTCGACAACCAAAATTCGTATACGTCCAGCCAGTAAAATGAAAAATTTGCCTACCCAAATGAAAAGTCTAGCAAAACGCAAAGCAAACGGTGCGAACACGCCCAACGACTGATTTTCAATTAAACCAA